GAAACGCCAGGCTGTGGTGCCCCCGACATTTCCATTTCACTGCCTTTTACAGAAAGGGTTTTAGGGTTGGTTGTTGTCTGGTTTGGGTGGGGTTTTTTTTCCTATCTGTATTGTATTGCATAGAGCCGTAGAGATTTTCTTCAGCAGAATTAAGACATGGACAAGCAGACACGTTCTATGGCTTTGGAAATAAGTTGACCAGACATGAAATCAAGACCTGTTTAAATGCAGAAGAAACTACTGCTTTATAATCTACTCTACACTTTACTGTTTGATAATGCCAATAGTGTTGTCTGTATTTAATGATAACTTGTAGGAATTATTACTGATACCTGAAGTTGCTTTGATGCCTACCAGAATCTCTTACTTGTAAAAGGAACATCCAGGATTTCTGTGCCAGAAAACTGCAGAGGCAGAGCTCACTAGTTGTAGTTCATCTTGTGTTTTGTACTGCCACTGCAGATGCAGTAATAAATTCCCTCACATAAAGATTTAGGTACAGTAGCATGAAATTCAGTGTTCTCTTCAAAGATGACTTGTTTCTAATCGGTTCTCTAACTTCATATCCTACCTAGCACTGAGTCAGAACGAACTGCAGTGCATTATTTTAAATTACAGAGGGGTAGTTGGGGAGGGGGCATTTTCTGCAGCTGCCAAAGTTGTAAACTATGCACTACAGAAACAGGAAGCGAGCATAGCTAGACACAAGTAAAATGTTTAAACTGGATCTACTTAGTCTTTCCACAATCATATGCGACTGTTCTAATTTTTGTACATCCAATGTGTACAGCAGTCTACAGTGTTGCATTCCAATTACCGATTTCTTAAATTCAGAGTATTTTTTACATTTGTTTTCTTTCACAATATTACTTGTCTAAGAGCTTCTAGCCCTGGCCAAGACTAGAAAAAGCAATGGCTGTTGATTTTCAAATTTTGTAACACAGAATAGCTAACTCTTAAATGCCGCTTGTTTAATCCTCTGCAGTAGGTGTTATCTCCAGAAATGTTTGCTGACAGTGCTGATATATATTCAGTTGTTGTGGAGGTTGCCTTTTTGTAAATGGCCTCTTCCTGATCCAGGAAAGGCCAGAGGTACTGCCATGGAGAGAACTAGAAAGGCTCTGCATCAAAAGTAGGTGAGTGGCGTTCACGCATGCTTTTGCCATTTATGTGTAACTTTAGCTAAGGATTTACTTTCGTGAATGCAACATCTGATAGGAAATTATTTACCGAGACATTTGGAAAATTATCAGTGGTGGTCTAAAACTGCTGGGAATAAGCTGTTTCACTCTCCAGCTAAGCTAGCAGACAATTTAGATCTGCTTCCTTGATTTCTAGGTTTTATAACTTAAGAAATGAAAACAATTTCCTCATGGTCAAGACACCACAGTTTTTTGGGAGATCTCCAAGTATTTGTGACACTCAGTACTCAGCCATTTAGCTGCTGGGTGCTTCAGGAAGATGTGCAGGCTGCTGAAAAAAAACAGGTGGTTCTCCTATCCATAAAGTAAAGGTATTCTGGCTCAGCTTAAGTTTTTTTTGGATGCAGACAAATACAGGAAGAATCTGAGCTTGAAAGGTGAATGCTTTTATGATGTTGCCAGTCTAAAATATAACATTTCACAATAGGAATTTAATGATTGCTGCAGCCACATGTCCCATTAGTAGGCACCCAGTATTGTATCCGCTAGTTTTTGTTAACAGACTTGCCTTGCCGTGATTGTACTGTTGGAACATCAGCTTAATGCTGCCACTTGTATTGCCACATAGTGCTTATTTACAATATACAATACCTCATTCTTTTCAAGACTTGGCAAAAACTTCAAACAGTAGACACTATCCAGACAATTTAATACATTGTTTGTGAATTTTGATATTTAAAACCCAAAATCTATTCTCCATGCAGATGTGTTTAGTTTCTTGTGTGACTAATAGCCAGATGAGTCACTGTGGTAGAAGGTTGTTTTTCAGTCCATCCTAACTGTTTTGACACACATACCTGTCACAATGCTCTTAAATAAAGAAATAAGTAAAGTTGTGAATAACTACTAGGCTTTTTTTTTGTCCACGTTAACCATCATTGATTTATTGACTACCTCTGTAGTAGGATTGATACCCTAGAGATATTACCAGTTGATCATTACTATGAATGTGGAGCTAGTTACAAACTTCTGCATTTGCTATAGGTGGAATTTCCATACAGTACTTGGTGAGGGCTGTTGTAAGAGCCCTAAATATTTTGTAAAAGCTGAACCATCTGCCAAATACAGAAATAGTGTCTAGTTCAGACTGTGACCAATATTTAATTTAGAGAGGTGAAATGAGATCTATTTTACTCTGATTCAGTGCATTAACACTGTAAGTAAGGATGGTACTGATCTTTGCAAATATGCAGTTAGTTTTTATTTTTCTCCCAAGCATGGTGCTCCATTTTTCTATCTGAACCTTCCAAATACTTGCAAATGTCTGTACTAATAACTCCTCTAAAAAAACTATAGGCTCCATCCTGAATTGAAGGTGAGCTTTTCTTAGCAGAGTGTGGATATGTAAAAATGCTGAAATGTTCTATGTTTCTTGTGCCCATGCTAGATCTGAGTCGGTAATGAATGAAAAAAGAAGTAGTGGGGTAAGGGAATATCATTAATGAAAAACAAACACTGAACCTTGTTTTTTCTTTCTTCCAAAACCAGCACCCACAGCTTGCCATTAAATGTTTTTTACTATCTTAATCATAACTTCCATCTATTATCCTCTACTTCTGGCATTGTCAAATAACTTAAATTCTTTTTCTCACTCTCTCTTGTCATTCCTTTGAACCATACCCCATTAAGTGACTAGGGAGATTTTTAACAAGGAGACTAGGATTATGTGAGTGAGCATCCACATGTATCTGATGTGTTGCCCTATCATCAGAAGAACCATAATAAGTAAATAAATCGTTAGCTCCAAAAAGCTGGGTCCCAGAGAACTACCATACCTTGTCACAGCTGGGACCATGTTCCCTGTGCAGCGCCCGTGGACCTGGACAGTATCGTTAGATGTACGGCAGGCACCTGCCAGGGCAGCACTTCTGCCTGCCCCCAGGCAAGGGTGGCACGCCAGGCAGGGTTAAGATGATCACAGGCTGCGTTCATCTCTGGGACAAAACTGCCACAAGGCAGTAGCCTGCAACCTCCCTGCCAGAGTGTTCCCGGAGGACTCTAGTGTGATGCCTGCTCCCTTGTTTAATCATTTCGCAAGCTCTACAAAAGCCATTTAAGACAAATTTGGGAAAATGTGTGGGTCCTCCTTTTTTTTTGCTGAGGTACATGGGACACCAAAGTAATACATGATTTATAGGGTCTAGGGAGCTTAGTGGATGTGGGGGTTTTGGGGGGTTTGTTTTTTGTTTTTGTTTTTTAACAGAAACTGTCATGGTGGTCCCACAGCAAAAGTAGCCTGCTAACAGCTTTTAAAAAAATGGCTCTGGCTTAAGATAGACTTGTGCATTATAGTTCTTATAGCAACATCTATGTCTGTAGTGTGTGGGTGAATTGTTCACCTCAATGCTAAAGAACAGTTTAAATGGTTGGTTGTATTTCAGCAACAAACATGTTGCTGTACCTGTATGTGACAAGAAGTTTATCTCAACTACATGGTTGCATTACCTTTTTTTGGGCTAGGATGCTCAGTAGCACTCCATTTGCACAGCTACCCAGACAACACGATGGGAGGGGCAGAAAAGAAATGAGAACTTCTTAGCAACCTTCGTATGTGTGCATGCACAGCTGTTCTGAGGTACATGAGCTGCTACTGCACCGAAGTCCTTAATGTGAAACATACATCCAGTTTAAGCCCCTTGGTAAACTGCTAGTGAGGTTACTCTCTCACTCTGGAAGTGACCTGTAAAAAGTGCAATAGTCCTGTCAGTCTTTCTTACCCCCTGGATACAGGCTAGGCATTCATGCCGTTATGCAGCTTGAGAAATCACAATTGTGTCAAGTTGGAATATTCATTCACTGGTACGTGACACTACTCATGAAGCACATAAATGTCAAGCCTATGTTTAATAGCTTCATACTGAAAAATAAAATGCTGGCACTAGAGGAACTTTGTATAGCACCAAGTGCCTGTGCACCTGCATTTCATGTTTTGGTGCAGGATTTGAGTTGGCAGAGTGTTTGCAAGATGCTAGTGTATATGTCCCATTGTCCTACACTGAGATCAGCTTTTGGAATGAGCTCAGGAACTTGACTCCTTATGCTGACTGGAAAGCTTCATCCTCTGAGCTGGCCTCCTGCCTCAGATGGATAGGGCAATACCAGTTCAGTGCCTACACATAAAGTAAGTTGGAATCAGCATTACCATTATGCCTTTTCATTTTGAAAGCCTATTTTAATCCACTAATATAAGATGAAGATCTGTTAATAAAGTGATTTAACTGTTTTCCAGTGGTGGGGAAAATGATGATGACTCTGACCAGAACTGGAAACCACCAGAAAATGACCTGATCCAGAAGTTAATAGCACAGATTGAATATTACTTCTCAGATGAGAACCTTGAAAAAGATGCCTTCCTTCTAAAGCATGTGAGAAGAAATAAGATGGGCTATGTCAGTGTTAAGCTCCTTACTTCTTTTAAGAAGGTAAGTGAACTTTTTAAGACCTGAGGTGCCTTGTGTAAGCCTGAAGAATCTAAAAACGTTAGGAGAGATTAGATGAAAATAACTTATTTTATAGAGGCGGTTTTGCAGTTTTCCTCTTTATCTGCCTCTCTCAGGGGTTGATTCAGTTCTAATGTGACTGTTAGGTTTGTTCTCATCCAGAACTTCAACTGCTGAACTCGTTCATGATTGGCTAGGGAAATCATAGGCTTTTAAGCAATTACACTTTTAAATTATCATTCTGGGAGAGAGTAGGGCATAGTAAACGGGATACCAGACAAAATTCATTTCTAGATCAGTTACTCATGAGTAGCTAAGTAATCCTGGTAAAGTTTCTTCCTTGTCTCTGAGAAGGGATAGTGAATCTGAGCTTTGCAAATGTATGGAGATCCAAAAATTAAGAGTAGTAGAAAGTCTCTGGTAACTGAAGTCACCTAAAGGTGAGGTTGACTTTCTTCTTTTTTCTTTTTTTCCTTGCATTAGGAGCTCCTATGTAAATACATGTATGTAACTGATTTCTAAAATTACACTAGAAACATTTTGTTAAGATTCTAAATCTGCCAGTTTTGTAGAACTATTCAGTCTAGAAGTTAAGGCACTCCACAGTTTCTTCAGACTACGTCAAACATTGTATTGCTAACAGATAAACTCTTAAAAACACTCCTTTGGAATGGAGAAGTTTGGGGTTTTTTTTTTAAACTGAGATTCAAGGAGTTCAATGAAATGAAATCATAAACTTGGCAAAACTACTTGTTTGGGAGATTTAACAAAATAAAACCCACATAACAAGCATTTTGGTCACAGTTCAGACCTAGGTGTGGAATGACCGAACATCACTTGAGTGGGCTTTAAGATAAAATAATGACTTTCAGTTTACGATTTAGTGTCATTCCTATTTTCAGTAGCTTCAACAGGATGTGAGCTTTACAGGAACTCACCAATGCCCATTATAGCAGGAAAACTGTTTACTCTTTCACTCAAATCTGCTACATGAAACTTAAAGCCAGGTTTCTGTTTGTAGACTGGAGCCTGCATCTATCTTACGCTTTTTGTAATTAGTTTGAGTGGGTTTGATCAGTTGTGCAGCTTAACCTGTGTCTGTCTTCAAGGTAAAACACCTTACCCGTGACTGGAGAAGCACAGCCTATGCACTGAAGTACTCGGACACTCTTGAGCTCAATGATGATAACAGAAAGGTTAGAAGAAAGACTCCAGTTCCAGTGTTTCCAAGTGAAAACCTCCCTACCAGGATGATACTGGTGTATGATATCCACATGACTTCTGAGCTGCAAGCTCATAACAAACAAGAAAATGGATGCATGCAAGAAAGGATAATGGAGCATCTCCTCAAAGCCTTTGCAACTTTCGGTGTAATTTCATCAGTTCGTATTCTCAAGCCTGGTCGGGATCTACCACCAGAGATCAGGAGGGTCAGCAATCAGTACACCCAACTGGGAACTCAGGAATGTGCAATTATAGAATTTGAAGAAGTAGATGCTGCTGTACGTGCTCATGACTTCATCTGTGCAGAAAACAAAGAGCCTGGGATGAAAGTTGTCCTAATAGGTGTGAAACCTCCAAAGAAAAAAGTTCCCAAAGACAAGAACCGTGAAGAAGGTACCAGCAAGAGTCTTAAGAAGGGTAGATCCCTTAATAAGAGAGTGGAGGAACTTCAGTTTGTTGGTGATGAATCTTCAGCCAATAGCTCTTCTGACCCAGAGAGTAATCCTACATCGCCACTGTCGGGACGCAGAAGTACTGCAACAAAAACTACGAGTAACTTGAGCCCCGTCATTCACCCCAACAACCATTTGAGTCCCAATGTGTCACCCAGGTCGAGTCCTTGGAACAGTCCATCTTCACTAAGAAAAGCAACCAAAAAATCTCCACTGGCTGAAGACAGCAAGCTTAATCCCAGCACTAGCCCTGAAGTTCTAAGGAGATGTACCGATTACTCCTCAGACAGCAGTATCACTCCTTCTGGTAGCCCCTGGGTACAGAGAAGAAAAGCTCAAACTGTAATGCTAGAGAAGAGTCCGGTCAGTAGCCCCATGTTAGCTCAGAAAATACAAAATGCAGATGGTCTTCCTGTAGGAGTGCTGCGGCTGCCGAAAGGTCCGGACGGCACTAAAGGATTCCACAATGGATGTGAAAGGAGGAGGGCTAACAAAGAATGAATAAATCGTTCTTTAAAAACAATTTCACAAGTCAGTCAGCTGCTCTTGTTCAAGCCTGATGAAAAATTGTCCCTTGAGTGACTGAGTTAAGTCAGTATCTAATTTAAAAAGATTTTGTATTCACAGAGAGACTTTCTTGCTTGTATATTTGTATATTCACTTCCCAGAATCACAGAAAGTTGAGGTTGGGAGGCATCTCTGGAGATTGTCCAGCCCAGCCCCTTTGCTCGAGCAGTGTCTGCTACAGCAGGTCACTTAGGGTTTAGAGTATCTGCAAGGTTAGAGACTCCCTAACCTGTCTGGGCAATGTGTTCCCATGTTCAACCATCCACACAGTAAAAAAAGTGTTTCCTGATGTTCAGCTGGAATTTCCCATTTGGGTTTATGCCCCTTTTCCTGTTTCTGGGTGTCGCTGAGAAGAGCCTAGCTCCATCAGCTTTACTCCTTCCCATCAGAGAGATATAAAAAAACAGCGATGAGATCTGCCCCCTGAGCTGTTTCCAGTCTACACAGCCCCAGGCCTCTAGTACAAGAGATGCTCCAGTCTCTTAATCATCCTGTGCACTTACCTAACGTAACACCCTTAGCTGCATTATTAGTTTTAATGTATTAGTTTGAAACAGGCATATAAATCATTCATGTAACTACATTACTTGGAAAGCTATGATCCTGAAGAGCAGCGTGTAAATACTTACACCTTAGCGGTCGTACTGTGGTGAGCTGTGGTATGCTACCAGCCTAATCGCAAGGAACAGAAGTTTTGAAGACTGCGTTTGTCTCTAAGGGAACACGCGCAGATGCTCTCTTGCTCACATATGTCTCTGAAGACAGTATTGTTTGGCAGGACCAAAGTGTATATTTTCATGGGATGGGAATAAAGACTCTGAGCATTGAAGCCTGCTCTGTAACTGTTAACTCATATAATCAGCTGGAAATAAACAAAAATATTAACTTGTTCTAGATCTATTTTGTGTACTTAAAAAGTAAGCTGAGCTGTACCTGAATAGATACTTAAACCTCATCTTATACCACATGAAATTCTAGAAATAGTTGCTTGGCATTTCCACTGCATTCAAGGGAGGGGGGAAAAAAAAGGTCCTCTACCCCATTACTGAAGGTCACTTTAGTGGTGATACTGCACTCTGAGTGTATGTCACAGTCATTTTTATACAATAACCCTGGTTATCTCACTGTTAACTCTGAATTTAACAAGCGGGCTCAGCAAGAAGCACTTAAGTGATAATTAACTATAATCCTACCTGAAGCCGGAGAAGGAACCTCTGCAGTTTCACTTGTAAGCGTTACACTCCTGAAAAATAGCCCAGCGATAGTAAGAAGGTAAGGCTTCAGCTTCTGATGTGCAGCCTGGGAACTGTGCACGACAAAGGTCGAATCAGATGATGATTCTTCATTCCCCATCCTTTCCAGCTTCCATTTCCACTCTAGGCGTAACAATTCTGCAGTGTAAACAACTGTAGTAACGCGCAGCTGGAAACCAGTGCACAGAAATCCCCCCGTTCTGCAAAATAGTCTTTAGCGACCCAAATACAGTCCCAGTTCTGGTACTTCACACAAATTGAATCCTCCAAGTTGCCTTCTGTTTCACTGTGTGTCCAGAATGCTGCTGTCTCATTAATAAGCAGGGAAGGTTTTGAATTACAAAACTATGCAGCATCCATGTGTCATCATGTACCAAACTGTTTGGGGGCAGCACCACAACTGATGCGAGGCAGTATTCTGAAGGCACATAGAAATCAACTAAATGGAAATACTGAGAACTGTATGTAAGAGTCCATAATGTTACAAGTCTCTTAAGACACCATATGCTTGCAGGAAAAAAAAGGAAGTTGAAAATAGCAGCATTTGCCCAGGCTGTGCTCTCAGAATGAACACATCTACATGCCACATTCAACATGGAAATCTTAAAAATCAAACTTAACTTCTGTATAACAGTAACGGTTTGAAAGTAAAAATCTCACCAGATGTCAATTATGTCTTATTTTGCTGTAGGAAGTTTTAGACTTGACAGATAAAATGAACACTGAGGATGGCCCCTTAGTAAATAAACAGGAAGTGACAGTTTTTCTTCGCCAATAAACCAAATACCATGTTACTGAAGAGTTATTAGAAGGCCGTAACCTATACAAGTATTATAAAGCTTATTTTACAAGAAAACACCATCTCGCTCGAGCATAGGCCCACTTATCCTGAGACTAAGATGTAACTGTAACATTCCAGAAAGCTTCTCAACATGTCTTTAGACAATACGACAGGAAAAAGAATACATTTACCACTAATTATTTTTGTAGAAAGAAAATACAAACTTGCTCAAACAGCAAGTCATAATGCAACTTGATCAAACAACAAAAAATAACGTGATCAGTGAAACTATTTGGAAAGTAATTTCAAGTACTGTTTAAAAAGTCAGCTTGAGGTTTTTTTTCTGAGTTCAGCTAAGAATATATGACCACGGTTCTACTTCATGTAATTTTCCCCCACCTCCAAGACGAATGTTTTCTGCTTGGAAAACGTCCTGTGGAAACCTCAGGTAACCACACAGATGTACCAACTTCTCTGCTGTCGTGCCCCCCACCTTTTTTTTTTTGTTTCCTTTTGGTTTCTTATTGCCATTTTGGAGCCAGAACAACTCCTTTTATGCTTATCTTATTAAAAAAGACCAAAACAGAAGTCACAAACAGCTTTTGTGTCATTGCATTTACATCCGGTATTCCTTGTGGAGCCCAGAATGTCTGCTTGCTCAATTAATCAATGCAAAAATACCCTGGGTATGAAATACCTTCTCTCTGGATACTTCCTACACTAGCTAGCAGTATCTAGCATTCAATACTGTGGCACGTGTACCTTTATATTGCTATTTTATAATCAATATTTTAATCAATATTTTATATTGATACCCGAGTACCAGAACACACGAGCACAGAGACACGGGGAGCGAGCTGCACCAGGGGCTATCGCTTGCCAAGTCCTGCAGCTGGTTATGTGCTCCTCTCCTGTAGACCTCGCACACGCATGCACACGCGAAGTAGCGGTTCCAAAAACGTGGAGGTTGAAGCTATTTTTATTGGTTTTTTACAAGAAACAAACAGCAATTCTAAAAAGCATTTTAAGAATTAGACCATTTCCCCCAAATAGTTCACAGTTTGCCAAAGCATTCCAGATTCTTAACTTTGTCTAAATACAAAGGTGCCGCAACAGACACCACCACATCGCTACACGGTCCACAGCAGGCTTCAGTCACACACATACGCCGATAAAAAGAGATGCAACGTCTAATTCCTTTGAGACAAAGATTTCATTCTCCCCGAGTTTGTTTCTGTCTTCACATTCAAATCAATCGCTCAAAACTTCTGTTTAAAAAACAATACAACCCCCAAATATATACACCATACAAACCAACTGCTTGCCTGTAACGTTGCCAACAGTGGTGTCTGAAACCCTGATGGCTGTGCCTTTACTTTGTTCTGACTCTCAGACATTTGTAGTATGATGGCATATTTCAACTAAGTATTTTTTAAAAATATCATATCAACTGGAGAGAAATGATGTGACGACACATTTGGAATTTTAATCGCTGGTTGAGAGCCCTTCCCAACTACAAAAGAACATTTACTTCTGTCTCCACTGAGAGGGGATGCATTCCTGTCATCTTCATTTTGCACAGGCACAGTTTATGGGCTGGATTTATAAACCTGAAGTCTGAAAAAAGCCAGGGACTTCAGTAAAAAATGCTCATTAACTACACTAACGCACCCAAGCTGTTTAGAACAACAGTTTGATTAATCAAACAGACTGGGCTTCAGTTTACACCACTGTTCCCTCAGCTTTGATTTCACTACACTTGAAGCAAAGATGTAGTTGATTGATTCATAGGAAAGATTCCACATCTGTGATCGATTCAGATTAAATGTTTTTGCAACCAGCTCGTATTCTTGCGACAGATCTGTGGCAAAGACGCCTTTATCATCAGTCTGGGGTTAAATGGAAAGAAAAAAGAAGTTTCAATTAGTTCCTCTACATCAAAAAGGGTTTTTTTCCCCACACATTGCAAACTGCTTTCATCTTGCTGTTTCACATTTTATTCCATGGTTCTTTCATCTGCTGGTAATTATTTCATACTTTATTTGCCCTATTTTCACTCAAAATTAATGAATTATTCAAACATACAAGAAAACTTCTTAAAGTGATGGCACAATTTATCAAGAAAACAGGATTTCCTATTAAAATTGCTAGGAAGGTGGCTATGAAATGATGCATACAAGCAAGCTACATTAGTATGCGCATGTCTCCTTATTCCTCTTTTCCCTTTCCTCAGACCTGGGAAGCAGAGCACACCCCGTATTCCGACACTGGCAGGGAAGAAACTCTCTCACCCTTTGCAGGTAGTCTCAACTAGGGCAATTTCTTGATACTGACCAAAGTACTACGCTAGCACCAAGCATGTATGGTCAAAAGCCACCGAAAGAGTATTCATCTAAAAGGAGCAAATCGGGATTATTTCAGGGTTAACGAGATTATCCATCTGCGACTCAGAGCCCTTGCGTCCCCACAGAGAAGAATGCTAACTACATTCTGCTACACTTAAGACGCTGTATCATAGAATCATAGAATGTTTTGGGTTGGAAGGGACCCCTAGAGGTCATCTAGTCCAACCCCCCTGCAGGAGCAGGGACACCGCTAACTAGATCAGGTTGCTCAGAGCCCCATCCAACCTGGCCTTGAATGCTTCCAGGGATGGGGCCTCCATCTCCTTCTTCTACTACTCCTGTTTTCATAGGCCTTTATGGGTAAACTGCTTTCTTAGGTGACTTATCTAGACTTCATACAGTTGAAAATCTCTGAAGTAATCTCTAATCATCAATTATTTTTCACCTCATACAACAGAGTTCAAACTCAATAATAAACACTTCATACAATAAAGGATTGAGGCTTATTTGAATAATAAGCACAATGCTCTAATACATATGCACACACTTGGACAA